AAAATATAGAGACTAATTTATACTAACCTGGAAAAATAAATATTCAAGTCATTTCAAACAAAAAAAAACATGAGATAAAGTTCTCCTTTGTTATTTTAATTGGTACATTTTAAATGTATTTATTTAGTGGTTCATTTATATAATTCTGCTTTTATTTCTAATTATGTCAGTGTTGGTCCTCCGTACTGCAGAAACCCGATAATCATCCTTCATATCAGGTGTGTTGGAGCAGAGAAGCAAGTAAAACATGCAGGGCTGCGGCCCCCCAGGACCAGGATTGCCCACCCCTGTATTAGAGTGACTGTTTTCACTTTCAGTTCCAAAATTCAGATTTTGATGCCACACGTCCTGCTGCCTCCAGCCAGGCTCCAGCTCACGTTGCAATCTCTCCAGAAAGTTTGAACATTTGGAAGCATTTAAAAGCTAAATTCAGACAGTTTGTTTAGAAGCTGAAAGAAGCCATTTAAAACGCAGGAGAACGAGATTAAACAGGAAACTTTGAGAACAAACAAATCAAACTTGGAGTTCTTATCAGTTTTATTTGATGCCATGAATTTTGAACAAGTTGTGCTTCCAKTTCTTTTCCGGCACACTCCCACCTTTCACCACAAAACATATGGTTTGTAAAAAAAGATATGTTTTTGTCTCATATTTAAGTTGTTCATTTAGAGTCTGGATTGTCTTCACAGTTGAAAATAATCCCACGTGCTCGTGGGGTGGGGGTGGGGGGTAAAGTGGGTCTGTTTTGTTGTCAGGACTCGCTCTCTTCTCCTCGCTCAGACTGAGAGCAGACTCTGCAGAAGCAGTTGTTTGCCTCGGGCTTTTAGTTCCATTAGTTATCAGCACAATTAACTGTAATCCAGATAAAAAAGCAACAACAGAGCAGAGAGCTTGAAATCGACTTCACTCGAGAGTTTTTTTTTTTTTTTTGGAAACATTACAAGGCATTCAGACGAATCAAACATYCAGGAAAGAGTTTGATCCTGATCCTTTCTGTGGTTTAAAGGTTAATAATCTCCTGAAATCAGTTTCAGTGTGTGAACACATCGTTTAATCCTGTAACTCCTGCAGGGAGTTCATCAGATTTAACCTTCACACACCCTCTTTGCTTGAATTTCATTTTATCAGTGTGCATTGCCAATGCAATGCACACTATTGTGATTCGTTTCCCATCCA